GATTTAGTAAACAAACTCCTTTGATCCATGTTTATCCAGTTATATTCTATTCAATCATGGAAAGACATCACCTTGATCCAGAAGTTGGCAATATTATTGTGAGAATGTGTCATGAAGGTCACCGTGGATATCGCAGAGGAAGTTGGCGTTTTTCAGAGTGTGGTCTCCCGGACTTTAGCCCGATTCCAGAGACTGGAAGTGACATTAGAGGCTTGGTAGTGGATCTCAGCGCGTTATGACACTAAGGGAGGGAAATATTGTCATTGCTGCAAGACGGAGCCCTGTCCGTACTGCCCGCCAGATCCTCAATGAAGTACAAGATGATTTGGCCAAGCTTTTCGATTCGTAATCGTTTGTGGGAACTCAGGAATATGGTAGAACGAGTGCTAAAAGAGAACACCAATTAGAATTCTGTTATGTTCACTGATGAGTCGCGTTTCTGTCTGTAAAGAGATAGCAGGCGCTGAAGAGTCTACCGAGAACAGGGTTGAGATAAAAAATGGCAAAAAGGAGGGAAAATTCGAAAAGTGGGGGTGAGATGGGAAGTTGTTGTCCGTGGATCGAAAGTGGATCGAAGTCACGATAGCTCAAGTGGTAGAGCAGCGGCGTATTTAGCCGAAGGTCATGGGTTCGAATCCCGCTCGTGACACTGACTTTTTATCTCAACCAATACCTTTCATAAATATTAATTAATTGAAAAATGTTAATTGGTCAATCGGACCACGATCTGTAATGGATTTTATAACTAATGTTTTATAATTAATAAATGATAGGTATTTTTTATGGTCCAGGTTGTTAGGAGGGAGTGTAAACCATGCTTATCCGTAACTTTTATGACTGTCGCGATAACACTGTAACTTTTGCTTAAAAAACAAAACAAAAACAAACAATAAAATAAATTGAATAATGATAAAAGGAGTTATGACAAGGGAAATATTAAAGTTTCAAAAAAATTAACCCCTGTCTATTTGCACGTCCATTAAAAATTAATGGTCGCCGTGACGTCCCGGGCCTAGTCCATCATCTCTCGAGGTGATGGCTTGATTATATCGGATAAGATGAAAGGTAAGATTTTTTTCTGAGAAATTTCACAGTCATAAAGCTTGGTTGTAACGCTATAAACTGATTACCACTAGCATTAATCTATACTAGTTGAATGTTGTAATTAAATTATAAATATTAAGTACAAATAATTAGTTACTTATGACTTAATACAAATTTAATAAATGAAAAATTATTGAATTTCAACAAAATGGAAAAGTTTTCTAATACCAAAAATAGAGTCTGTTCATTTCTTATGTAAATATTCTGTTACTTTTTGTATTGTATTTATGTATGGAGAGTTTGTTTTTAGACTTTCCTTTCTGGGCCGTATAAAACAAAAGACTGGGCACAAACGTTTAACAATGCATATTCAATTTTTTTCCTTTTTGATGTCGTTTGAGGGGAAAACATGCTTGACACACGGCCGAACAGGATCCCCGTCAAATATTTCCTTGGGAGTATTTTTAGCCGAAGTCGATCAATGTTTTAAATACTTAAAGTTATGGCATTAATTAAATGGTAGTTAAAGTAGTAAGTAAAGCTCCTGATAAACTTGAATAAAACACATTTTTATTATTTTTTGTCTAGTAAAACAATATTTTATAAACGTGTACCTTGCCTGAGTTCAAAGAGCTTTTTGTAAATTTAGCGTGTTATGCTGTTCTGATATTTTTGTTTTCATTGCTTCACACTTTAGCACCTCCATGGAATTTGACCCAACCAAAAAAGCAAAAAGCAGACAGCAAGACAATGATTCAGATTTACATTTAAATTTACGGATTTCTTAGTTTTAATTGTAAATAGAAAGATAAATCTCGCTGCTGTAAACATATCATAAGTAAGCATACAAGAAACAACTATCGTAAATGTATATTGATCAGTAAGTTAGTTTGTTAGTAGTTTAATTTTAGAATAGACATAATTCTATGGTTTTCGTTCAAAACTTCAGGTGTACTTCATAATAATATAATCATAATAATAATCATCATTATAATAATATAATATAATCAAGAATTTCATTTCCTTATCTGCCGTGTATCCGTATTTGATAGTTACAAACGATTAGTTTTTGGCCAAAAGTAAGGTTTTTCAGACCAGCTTTTTTATCGTTTTTACATTCAGTGTATGCTGTTATGATGTTTTCGTTGTTTCACACTTGCCATAAGTAGAACACCACCAGTTAAAAACATACAGTGAAATACATTGAAACTTTTATATTTTCAAAGATTAAACCGTAAACTTGTATATTTAATACATAGTACAGTTTGACATAATTAAGTTATTTGTCTGGATGAAAGATAAGAAGATAAGACGGGTAGTAGTAAACATGTACATCAATAATATCGGTCTGATCGGTCTGTTGAACCACAGAGAATTTTAGATTTTTTTCTAAACTTCAAGCAGAAATTCAATCTTGATAATGGATAATTTTATTTTCTTACATTATGATGATTGTTATAAACGATTAGTTATTTACCAAAGAAAAAGAAGGAATTCGTCGGAATGCGACATTTTGAGTATGCTGATTTACGGTGGTTGGGAGGGTTTTGTAATATTTGCGGGAACAGAAACAGATTTCATCTTGAACAAAAAGATGTTCGAAACGTAAAATGGAGCATCAAGGATTTTTAGTAGGATTCAGGATTGGGACAGTAGGCTGAACCCAGCCATTCTGCAATTCCATATCGGCTTAACTAGCTTAATAAAGCAGCCTTTTATTTTTAGAGGTAAATCAAAATGTTGGTCAATAAGTCATGTAAGACTCTGTATCGTACCATGACTTCATGACGTTTAGCGTTTGTCGATACAGTCCGAGGTACCGCACTGTGTCACCAGTCGGGAGGGGAATATTATTTAAATAGGTTGAAGAGAAGGTCGTTTTACAGTGAAGGTAAGGTGGGTGGGTTTGTCAGTTTTAAATTTGATTCTGTTATTTTCGCTCCAAGACTCTAGTAGTGTAAGATCGTTGAAGGTTTTGAGTGGAAATGACTGGATCGGAATTACTAGAGAGAGTTGCTGAATCGTCTGCAAATGTATGTGTAGTGGTTTAAGGATGTAATCAAATGTCACTTGTGAACACCTGATATAGTGTAAGGGCCAGAATGCAACCCTGAGTAACACCAACATTGGTAGGGAAATAGTCGGAGAGGGAACTTCCTTCAATCAGTCGAAAAAACCGGCCAGTTAGAGAACTGCGCGGTATGAGATAGTAGGTCCAGGCGATAACTGAGCATGAACAGAAAAGCCAAACTCGATCAAAAACTTGGCTTAATTCATAACAGTACTGGCCTAACTCAAAGGAGAAGAAGATGATATATACCATGATTAGATGGCTTTAATTACAATGTCTGACTTGATTTAAAATAAGAAGAAGGAAAAGAGCCGCATGGAACTGGACGAAATTCTTATGTTTTTCAAAATATCCGGCAAAAATTCAGTCTTTCTAATGAAGAAAATTATCTTGAGTGTTTCCGTTTTTAAACCATTAATTTTTAGGATAGAAAAGGTTTGCTTCACTATTTCACGATTTTTTTTTAATTTAGCGTCTGATGCCGAACCGATGTTTTTGTTTTCGTTGTTTCACATTTCACCAGGTACTTTTTCACTTGTAAAACACAAAGCAAACCGAACAACTACCCGTACTTTAAATTTTCGGTTAGTAAATTATTTTATGGTCTTTTCTTTCCCGTATTTACTCTGAGCCCTTAAAAGGCATGAGGATCTTTAACGTCCGTATCTAGCCTTTCGGCCCTACCGTATGTTTTGATTCTCAAGATGAGAGATGACGCACCTCCGCTCACGACTGGATGAATGTTACAGCCGCAAGTTTTGGTGTAGAAGCCACCCCGGCCCCGAGGGCCTCCGCTTGTCCATTCCGAGTGGATAGGGCCGCATTAAGCACCAGACCAGGGGTCGTCAGTGGCCGCAACGGTTTTGGCGTTGATTCGGCACTCATCACTGTAAGGTAAAGGTCCCGAGTTCGAATCCAGCGGCCCTGCATTCGAACCCGACATACTTACAAATGGGGTTTTTTCAAAAACACAGGCACCCCGAGGGTTTATATGACCTCTGCTGCTGCGAACCCTCGTAAAGAAAAAAAAGCACCAGACCGTGTGCCGCTTGGAAAGGGTAACCCCAGGTGCGGAAATGCATCAGCATGGGTCGTCCCGCTGAGCTCCCTGGATAGAGAAGGGACTATCTCCGTAAGAACTTCCGGATCCGCTCCGGGCGCTGTTTTGTTTAAAGTGGAATGTCTAATCACCCCCTAGAGGAACACGGCCCTCGGAAGGAAACCGCTAACGGTACCCCCGAGCAACTGATTCACACTAAGTTCTCGCCAGGAGCCTCGCCACTAAGCCACTACGAATCCATTCCCATTAAGCAGGGTTTGGACTTGGAACATTTTCTGCTACCCCGTAGGTCAGGTGGTTATGCACCCTCCCCCATCTATACAGACTGGACCTGGTACCCTAACCCTCGAATGCCTCTGATATAGCACCGAGAGGCCGACACGAGTCCAGCTCGTGCTTTAGAGAGGTTACCACGCTCCCAAGGCCACACCATTATGTTGTGCCTGGAAAGCGCCCTCTTGCATCCAAGGGTTGGGAGAGGTCTCAAGGAAATATGTCGGTTCGTCAGTTCTCCCTCCGTGTGGAACTGGGTATAATTTTACATGTTTTTTAGTTTTCAGGCAGAAATTCGGTTTCAATAATGATGAATTTGGTTTCTCTAAGTGTGCTCGTCTCTGGTAGTTATAAGCGATTGGTTTTTTTTACCAAAGGAATGACATTTTTTTACGGATTCACGAGTTTATCAACTGGAACAGCATGGAAACCTCGTTTCGAATGTCACCCCTTCGCTTTCACACCGAAACCGCTTCTCGAACCACACAATTTCAAATATTTTAAAAATGCGAATTGCTAAGTTTTTCCTCATGTTGCTTTTTTTTGTTGCAGGTGTGGGTCGTACCGGTGGAGGAGAGATGGGGAGCAACCTGAGCAAGAGGCGGTCTCAAAGCTCAGGCAACCTAACCGGGAAACTGCCGCAGGACAAGTACAAACTCTGCGGCTCTCTCCCCAACCATCTCGACCTCCCCAACAACGACAACAACAACGAAACAGTGAAAGGACGCGTCGAAGATTTGGGCTACGGGAGCGAGAGGTCTCCGGACGATCCGGAGCCGCCTTTCCCCGCATGCCCCGTGCACCACGCCCATTTCATCAAGAAATATCCGTTTATTAATTCAAGTAAGTCCTTTCTATTTTAAATTAAGCAAGTTGTAAACAATTCCGGCGATGTAGTAGTGCTTAACATCAACAGCTCATCAGGTTACGTGTTATGAAGGATCAAACTACTTTACACTTTTTTAATGAGATTTTTCCACGTTTCTGCGAGTGGATGAACATATAATTTGGTCAATATCGATCATTTTTGGACTATTCTGTGACATCAAACCAGCAACAGGGCAAATATATGGGTAACAGGGTGTCTCTTTTTTAGATGGACCGGCTGGATTTCTCTTGAACCAATGCCGATATTTTTAAAAAAACTACGTCTTTAATAATTTTTAGCTTAGTTTCAAATTTTTACCTTTTTCTTGAGAAAAATTATAGAGGGTACCTCAGGCCCAGTTCAACTTCCGAATTTCAAAACCGATCCTATACATCCTAATACATTTACATTTTTACGCTGAAAACAATCGTCCAATCGGAATTTCAATTGGTCAAAAAATGACAATGCTATGGCAAAAAGTTTGGAAAAACGCATTTGTTTGTTTAGTCGTTAATTCCAATAATTTCCATCATCACTAAGGTAAACATTAACTGCTTTTATTATTTACATTCTGTCATTATTTTTCAAACTCGTATTATGAGAGGAAATCTTAATTCTTGGAAGTAAATAAATTTTACAATAGCGTATATTCCTTACATTCAATATTCCATTCTAAATGAACCGAAGACCAATTTTTTCCGATAAACAGCGAGTTTATATGTACGACTGCTTTATTGATAGTGGTAGTATTGCGCGAACTGCAGTCCAAGAAATTTCCTAATCGCCCCAGAATGGCAATGGTGATGGTAATGAGGATACTAGGAAGCGGGGTTTCTGCTCCCCAGGCACTGCAGCCTTTCGGCATATTGTACCTTCCTAGTTCCTTAGTTCAGTGCAATAGACTCAATCCTTCTCCTTAGAAGTAGCAGGTCATTGACTGCCGGTGCTGCAATTTGATTCCCTAAGTTTTTTCCATACGTTAGGTTAAATCTCCATTGAGCTATTGCTTCGCATTCGAAAATGATATGGGTGGCTGTTTCCTCTTCCTCATTACATAATCCGCAAATGGGAACACTGTTATATATGCCCTTGTTTTCTCCGATGCCAGTGACCGGTTAATAATCAATAGTACTATCACTCCTCTGAGTATGGCCTACTCCAACTGCAGCAGTGAGTTTGCCAGTCTTGGTGTGGGTTTTCATCATAAGTTTATCATGTCTACCGGCGCTAGAGTTTATCCATTTCTCCTTTTTTTTTTATCCATTCTGCAATGGAGGTTTCTATATTTGTTTTTGTTATCCAAAGTATAGGTTCGGGGCCTATGTATGGTCTCGCAGGTCCTCTTCTGGCTAGACTGTCTGCTTTCTCATTAACCAAAATTCCCCTGTTCCCTGGCACCCAAGATATCATCAGGTTGATGTGTTTCCCCAGCCTTTGGAGATTTTGGTTGCGTTCATCGACTGATTTTAATGTGTTTTACATGCTAATGATTTAATGCTTTCCTATCAGATCTTATGAGGATATTTTCGCCAGTGTAACCATTTTAAACATTTTCTAGGGCAGAAGCATTGATGGAATGTATTTCTGCTTGAAAAACCGAAGTTACTTCCCTAGTGAGTTTGAATGCTCATATCTTGGGCTTGTAACAAAAATACCCGATTCGGTTTCTTCGTTTGTTTTGGAGCCATTGTATACCATATCATTGACTCTGATGTTTTCTTGAGTTCTTCCTTCCCTTTATAGGATTTTGTAAAGAATGTTTCCGGGATCATATAGTCAGTTGATCCCCCAAGAGTAAACCACAAAACGTTTATTCGTGTTGCTCGCAATATGAGGAGGTACGGATCAGTTGTTGTTCCATCATCAAGAAACCGGCAGCGTAATTTCCACGAAGAGCTGAATATTTTACTTATGTTCGCGAAAATCCGATTTCCTCTCTCCGAAATATTGGAAGGGTTTTAGGTTTAAAAAAATTAGAGATGAACTCCGGACTTACTATTTTAAGCCGTATCGCCCTCATCTGGTCCAGGGACTCCGGGACTCTGATTATAACAGGCGTCTAACGTTCCTTGCACAATTTTCGATTTGGGAGGCTGAAGAAAACGTTCTTCTATACATAGTTTGTTTTGTGTAACTAATAAGAAAGAGGAACTAGAACACTTTGTTTGAACAGTAGAGATCAAGTAGAAGGAACAGGTGCCTCGTTGCTAATTTATACTCTTCTCTCGTCTCCTTCAAGCCCATTTCGCCGTATATTCTTTAATTGGCTTTGCAGCAGACTCCGATGTGATCCGGACAAATCGAATAGACTCCCAGCTGTAGTTAGTGCCTTGTCTAATTCTGTAAACTTTCAAAAGGCGACAGGTTGATTCTCTTAACTTTTGTTTATTATTTATGAAACGAAAGGTAAGGTAATCAATGACGAAAATACGGTCGCCGTTGGTGATAACGGGTTTCGACCTATGGATATTATTACGAGCTGGCCATTACGGCTAATGGGCGACACTGAGGAAACTCCCTTTACAAATTGTATTACCCACTTTCCTCAAAACGTCGGGTAAAATTAGGGCGACTCGAATGCTTAAAGAAAATCTCATTAATAAAAAAATAAAATGTTCATCATGGGATTGGCCTTTGTTTTCTGTTAGAACGATAATTTCCAAAGGGATTTTTTTCCAATTCCTAATATTTTTATTTAGGTTTTTTTTTTGGGGGGGGGGCAAAAAATAAAGCTAAATTTGTTGTATCCTAAGTTGCCTATTCACGTTCATACGATTAAGTGAAATGCAGGTTACCAATTTCAGTTTCTATCAAATGAAACGTAACATATTCATTAGAAACCAACCGAATAATATTTTCTATGTTTAACAAAAAGACTTCTAATAAGTAGAAAAAGTGTCCAATTTTACAAAAATAAATCATTGCTCAATTATCTTTAATTAATTTGCCATGTTACATCTATTTTTATATTTAATTAGACCTTAGTTGTATTTTTATTAAATGTAATAAACGTATTGAATATTCAACATATATAATTTTTATCTACAAACTTATATAAGCATGTGTTTAGATCTCAAATTATATAATAAAATTTTTTGCATTCATAATTATTTTAAAATTATTTTACATTTAATTTAACTGTATTTAATGATTTTTTTAAAAGTAAAATCATTATAATAAATCAGGCACTCTTGGTTGTTAATGTCAAGATGTTTATTATTGTATTCATTTATATACAGATTTAAAAACAAAAATTATTTATATATCAAGCATCCATTACTAATATCGTAAGTAAAAACCTTTTATATAGAAATACTTTTGTTTCGTACATTTCTAAATATATTTCCGAATTTATTACAGCACATAATTATCAGCCAATAATTAAATTGCTTTTTCATTTCTTTTGTGTAATTTATATTCGAAAAGGAAATAATTAATAAAACTGTTTGACTGGTGAATCAGAAGTGATCAATTTTCTTCAAACCGGCCGTCTCCGGTTCATCAGTAATTATTTTTAATTATTTGAACCTCTACCGACATCGTTTCTACTGCATTATCAGTTCAAATAAAACAAAAAATTGTAACGTTTGCTTAAAAATAAAACCGATAAAATAACGTTCGATTAATAAACAAAAATAAAAAATAAATAAAACAAAATAAAATTAATAATAGAACCGCTAGTCTAAATTCATTTCATCTACTAAAACAAAAAATATTTCTAAGCTGAATATAAATCTTTTATGTTTGAGACAGCCGTTGGTTGATTATGTTATATCGAAACTTGTAATATGGCATTTTTTCGTACATGTTTATTATTTTCTTTATTCCCATCTTTTTGTTTTGTCTTATTTTACATTTTCTTCTGCGGATTTTAACATTAAAACTAAAGCACCATGAAATAAATAGAAGTAGAATAAGAGCAACTAATAATAGGAAATTTCCAAAAAATCTATGACAGGAACGTCTCCGCAAAACGTTGATTGTTGTCTGGGTCCCGGGCACAGGTCTGGAGGGTAACGAAAAGGCGAACGAGGCGGCTAAAGTCCGGATGTCCCAAGCTAAAAATATAATTTAAAAACCGATTAAAATAAAATGGAAGCGTCGGTGGGCCGGATCGGCAGAGAATCTCTCGAATATCAAGAATACTGTTGATGAGTGGCCCTAGGAGGACTTGATTCGTAGAAGAAGGTTAATCTTCACCCGATTAATAATAGGCCATGCGAGGATGAAACGCGAAAAAAACCCGCGTATATGTCCAGTTTAGAGAACAGTTTCGCAATGTGTGCCACCTGTTTGAAGGGTGCAACTCCTTGGCTCCATACAGAGAGCGTGTTGGAATACCACCCGATATGAGAACGGAGCTCATGCACGGTAGCGAGTATCTTGGTTTCCTATTCCTATTTTTGGAGTGAACCGTTTGTTTTATTACATACAGTAATGATAGTTTTCAGTAGTTTGTGTCCCAAGTGATTGTTGAGAGTGAATGTATTTATTGGCTTGATGTGCAGTGTGAGAGTGCCGATGACGGAATTTTCAGAACCTCATCGACAGTCAATTAGGTTAGTTAGAAAAGAATAATGGAGGAATATCGATACACACCACCCTAATTGAGGGAATGGTTTGTAAATAGGAAGAACATATTTAATATGAGTGAGACTGTGAATGGGTTTGGGATCAGGAACTGATTGCGTTGGGTGCTGAAATTACCTAGCTGTTGACTGCACTCGGAACCCAAGCTTTGCTGGACGGATAAGATGGAAATTACTGAAGAGATGCCATGAAGAACTTGATAAACAAGTGACTGCTTCAATATTGCATAAATGCCTCAATAATATGTTCCTGGCATAAAATAGAAAATTCCTATGGCTTTCTCTTTCGGGAAAAGGGTCTGCGGTGGCCGAGAGGTTAGGGCTCCGACTCGATTTTGCCACGCTAGCGATTCTGGGTTCGAATCCCGGCAGAGTCCATGGCTTTT